TTGGGTGAAGTGGATGTTTCACTTGCGGCATGGCCTTCATTTCCATCAGAAAACGGTGGAAGTGATCTTTGTCGCTTATGAACTTCATATCATTCGAAATCCCTTAAGGAATTCCTGAGCTTGGCGTGAATTGGTTCCAAATCTGGCGCGATTGCTTCATTCAACAGATTTTGCAGCGACCTCCTTTTCAAAGTCCTACAGCAGTTTTTATTATGCTGTCCCTTAAGAAGTGAAGTGTTACCACAATGAAAAAGTTTCGTGAAACAGAAGTGAAAAGTAATCGATAAACGTGAGGTGGACGTATAATTTTGGGACGTCGGCTGAGTGGCCTTTTACACAAAAATTATTGAAAAAATTCCTGTGATCTCAAGTTGGAAGTTGATGTTCATAGGCAATTTCGCATTTATATTTGCCACATTTTCACATTGGAGACTTTTTCTGAAACATCTAAATTTGCAAGATTTTGGGAAATTCCAAGGTGGAATTATAATTATGAAACGCAGTGTATATTGCTAATAGAACTGAATGGAAAGCACGGCGTGGTAAACTTTTCGAAGATAAGCTCATCTGTAAGAGGGTTGGTGAAATGCATAACGATGAGAAGCAGCTCCTTTTTTCATTTCCCTTCCCCTTTCAAGGGCACATTTGATTAAATGCTGAGTTTACAATGAAAGGGAGGCCTATTAGAAATCAACGTAGAGGTGGTCAGGAAGACAAAAATAATGAGAAACGGTCCGGGAAGTGGGACCCTTCCTTCGCCCGTTAATTTCCGCATTAACACGTTGACAACAGCTGAGCACCGTGTGGGACCGTGTGTAGCGCATGCGCTTCACACCCAAACATAATAGTTGATTTTTTCGCGCATGCGCTACTTCTTTTCTGATTTTTTGCATTTATTCTATAGATCACATTCGAACGTGACCGCAAACGGTGTGGTTGACAGAATGGTTATATATTCTACACTTTAGTGGAGATTGCCCAACTCCTACAAGCTCTTTACTTGGGTTCATTCCTTGCTCTCTTTATATTCTCTTGAACATGAGTTCAAAAAAGTAGTAGAAGTAAGTACAGACCTATACTTATAGCCAGGGTGAATATCGCTTGAGGATTCCTCAACGGCACGTCGAGGATTCTCTGCCCGATCAGAGACGATCTCTCGCGCGGACATTCACACTCGCCATGCCGTGCCGTCTGTGCTCTCCGCGCGGATGTTCACTCTCGGCACTACTCTCGCATGGTAGAGAGCTATGGTCGAGGAAATTCCTCGACCGTTATTCACCCTGCTTATAGCATGGTATATCTTTAGTGGATATCAATATCTTTAGAGATTATCAATATCTTTAGTGGAACAATGGCGGTAAAAATAATTTCCAGGTCCACTGCAGCAAAAGCAACTGAAACTTGCCTTTCATCGCCAGAAAACGTCAATTCGATCGATTTTTACAGTTGTCCTTCTGATAAGTTTGACACATCGAATATCATTCTAAACATTTTGTCGCATCCGAGTTTTGCGTATTTAAAGCTCAAAATCCACAGATTTGATGTGAGGCGGCGGCGCCTGCGAAATCGCTCTGGTCCCACGCGGCGCGAAAACCCAAGAACGCGCATTGTCGTCAACGTGCTAATGCGACTATCATCGGTGCTGTCTTCTTCAACGCTACTGCTCCTTCCGCTGGAGTGGATAGAGTCAGACGGCGAGGGGCCACCCAATCAATGAGAGCGCAGCGGCGCCAGCGGCGGCCAGGCCGCTGGGGACCAGGGTCAACCCCCCCCCCCTTCATGGGTGATTTGATACGACCCCCTTGTATGTGACACTTGTGTAGAGACAGTGTTTACCATCAATATTTATTTCTACGTAAGTCATCAAAGATGAAACTTTAGCAAAATCCACGACAGATATTCATCGCTGCTTCCAAACACGAAAAAATGAGATGCATTCAAAGATATCCGTGTACTCCAAAGGGTTACCAAACTAGGAGATGAAATAAACTGAACCAGTGACCGGAATATTGACAATATTACCTGATAAAAACTTATGAGAAGTCAGAAAAAATTATCGCTCCAATTGAAATACTGAAATCCTTCACGTTCTTCAATTGCAACACAATTTTTACACCCCTCTTTCTAAGGCTATAACTTCCTTCATATTCGAGCTTCTGCGCCGAAGTGATTTGATTTGGAAAATTCAAATTATTCTCTCTCCAACCATGGGTAAAAATTCTTCGAAAGTTAATTTAATAAAAATTTAGTACGTTGTTTTTCTGTGCAAAGCGACTTTTTGACCTTTAAACGATCATAACTTCCTTCAAAGTCATTCATTTGGGAAGCTGAACACGGTATAATAAACTACAGGATTCAAGCTTTCTAACGAGCACCCAAACGTTCCTGAAAAGTCAGCAGTTCAAAAATTAGTCCCGTTGTTACTTTTTTGAGGGGTATTCTTCAAGCCATTTTCCGAAAACGCGGGTTTTCTTAGGTTTCACTGCCCGTAACTTCTTGGAAGACCAATTCATGTTTAATTTAGGATGTGCTAGAAAGCTTCGAGCATGCGCTTGCACTACATCCCTTGCCTTGGTGCGCGCCACGCCTCGGGCGCCCTTCTAATTCGCTGATTCATTTGAAAGCTCATTTAGAGGGAAGCGTGGTTTATAGATGCTCTAGTATCAGTCATCTTACGAAAACGTAACGTGCTGGCTATTATCCGATATTACCAAGAATCCCACTGTCGGCCACCGAGAGGGTACGACCCCCCCCTCCAAGCTCAACTGAGTACGACCCCCCCGTTGTTACTCGTAACAACGTAGGGTTGACCCTGCTGGGGACTATTATGCGGTGAGAAGCGCGCGTCATCCTACACCACTGTAGGCGGTAAGAAACTGTGAACGGGGAAAATAACCCAAGGGATGCTGTTGCAAATTCTCCAAATTGGAGCACGTATTGCACTTACTGATCTACTGAGCTTTGATAAGACTGGAGATTTGATTACGCCCAGGCTTAACAAGCGTTTCATCCTTGCGGAGTCGGTGAGACAGTCTTGCCTGGTAGGATGCAAACATTGGCTTGTACATTGGGTGGTCCCGCAAGATGGGCCATACCGGATTCGAATGCCGTTACGATTGTTAAGTGGTAGTGAAATGAATGACGCATCTCAAAGTAGTTGATCAACGCCGGGAGCCTTATCATTTTATCTTTTTTGACTCACCCCATTTAGGGTACCTTGTAGACTGGAGGCGACCAACCAATTAGGGGTGCACTGCTTGCTCTCAGCGCATCTGGTTGGTTGGCCCCTAAAGCGAAACAGCCGCTCCCCTATCCTTCTTCCCTTCCAACGCGAACTGTGCCTTAAAGGAAAGGTCCGCGGAAAACTTGTTCATCGGTCATCGGGCTCAAAGTAGTTGATCAACGCCGGGAGCCTTATCATTTTATCTTTTTTGACTCACCCCATTTAGGGTACTTGTAGACTGGAGGCGACCAACCAATTAGGGGTGCACTGCTTGCTCTCAGCGCATCTGGTTGGTTGGCCCCTAAAGCGAAACAGCCGCTCCCCTATCCTTATTCCCTTCCAACGCGAACGGTGCCTTAAAGGAAAGGTCTGCCGAAAGCCTGTTCATCGATCATCGGTCGGACGTCATCTACCACAGTGGGCGGAACCTGTGCGTGCTTTTGTGACGAAGTGCGTCAGGTGCGGAACCATGTGTAAATTTCTGGGATTAATGTGACAGTTTTACGGCGAGAATTCCAACTCCTTTTAGCCTAACTGATTGTTTGGACTAATATCAAGGCTGATGGTATTTTTCTTTCTTTCTGCAATATTCGTGAAGCAAGGAGGCTAAGGCATCAATTTCTGGTGAGAAAGGAGGTAAGGTTTTCCGTGGATGACTCCTTCGAACGCAACAAGGTAGCGCATTTATCCTGTCACATGTCGGTTCAGCTCATATGTTTACTATAACACGTAACCTTCTTCTAAAAATACGAGACTGTCGAGGTGCAGACCATACACCACAAGTGACGACAGCCTCCAAGTAAATCTGGTTAGTAGTGGTTCATAGTGATAGCTGATTTTTATAAATGATAGTTGTAATTAGTGACAACTGATAATACAACAGGCTAATCATTTCATTGGCAGAAAACATTTACATTTTGTGAAGGCCGTCGTCACTTGTGGTGTATGGTCTGCACTCGACGCTCTTCTCGTATTTTGAAAGAGGGTAGTTGAGCACCTTTATGGAGAATTTTAAGGCACTAGAATTTTCAAAAAAAAACGAAAGTAAAATGTTTGCTTGGGGGACAGTCCCAAAGGTATCTCACCGAACGGCTTGATGGAGCCGGTGGTAAGCCGAATCAGGAAAGCTACCCATAGTGCTATTACGTTAATTGGTTCCAAAAATTACCACAAAATAACGATCAGCACAGCATAATCAACTTCATCTCTTAAAAACTATGGAAGTTCGGAAACATAAAAAATTTCTATACAAATCACAATCTCCTCTAAAAGAGTGATATGTTACTTATCAGCTAAGGCATTAATGCAAGCCACACTGCAAATGAATTATTAATAGTACCCTATGAGAAGATGCTGCTAAGATGGCAAGTATGTAGGAGGTAAGTGAAACGTAAAGCTTGGCAAGTGAAGCGAATACTTCTCCTTGAAATCGACACATAGATAACAGTACAGTCTTTTCAGAGCAAAAGATCCTGCTGGAAAGGCGTGCGGTCGCGATGCGGCTTTTCTGGTGGTTCGGCTCACTTCGTTTTACTTTTTATCAACAAGTCAAGCAAGCAACGCAGTAAGCTGATGCAAAAAGGCTTAACCCGTATTGGAAGAACGGTGTTCACCAACATGGAAAACCCAAATCACCCGTTTGAAAAACAAAAAAGTTACTAGTCACAATCAGTACAGGTCAAAATGAGAATGATCGAGAAGTAATCAAAGGAGGGACAATCGAAAGAGGGGCCTCCAGGCTGAAGAGGTGTAAATTCGCCTAGATGACATCAGTGAACTAGACCCTTGTTGTTTGATCTTGTGGAAGCGTTGCTCGCTCCTTCCCGTTCTGCTTTTGCTGTGATCGAGTGTAGGCACGCAGCCATGCAGGCTCTTGTCCGATATCAAATAGTAGACGTTCGAACTTCTCATGATTTGCTTGCGGATCCTTGATGCGTCGATGTCTAAGCCATCTGAAATAGACTGTCATATGTTCCACAACTACGAAGCCAAAATCCTTGATTGTGAGCTTAGATTTCCTTATGGGGAGTTTCGACATTGCGTTCAAAATTTCGAGAAAGTGTTGGTCAGTTACATGGAGTTCGACTCACGAGTTCTTTCTACATAGCGAGCAGACTCTATGACCTCCTGCATCTCACGATGGGGTGGGAGCATGCTCAAGGTAAACCGTTTGTTCATAGTCCAACGAGGAAAGGCGCATTTGGTAGTCTGAAATGGGAGGGGACCGTATGCGCGTGGGCTGCGTCGTAATGCATCGAGATCTTCATGGGTGTAGGTGCGTAGGGGATAGTTAGCGCTTTGAGGGAGCTAAGTGCACAAGTGTCACTAGCCCAAAGCAACAACTCCAGAAGAAGTCGTGTCGGAGAATCTATTCAGTGAGCAATTTAGAGTAGCCCACGAGTACTACAGATCAGGGTCAACCGTCCGTTCGAACTGTTCGAACGGGGGGGGGTCGCATTTGTGTTCTGGGAGGGAGAGGGGTCGCATTGGTCGCATTGCGCGCTTTGGTGATCAGGGGCGCAGGGCATAGGGTGTGTGCGAAAAAAGTTGCCGTTTCACTGGTTGTATATACCCCCTGGTCGTATTGGGGGGTCGCAACTGGACCCTTTCGAGAGGGAGGGGGTCGCAAAAATCCCGAAAATGTTCGAACGTGACGGTTGACCCTGCTACAGATGTGCCGTGGTCGCGGCTCGAAAGCGCGCGACAACAGCGCCCAGACCTTACAAAGTCAGCTGATGGCGAATAATCTAAGTGTTTGGATAAGTTACGTCGCACACACCCCATGACAAGCAACGTGCATTATCGCGAGCGGCTAAAAAAGGGGGTAGTTGAACCGCGGAGCACACAAATTTGTACAACTCGCACCTCCCCTTCCTTATTTCAAGAAGACTCCTGGTTTAAGGATTCATCAACGGTTTCTTTGCTTCTTTTCCATTTTTGGTCAACTCGGCACCCATAGCTCCATTATCGACCTCTGTGACTCCCAAATTTCGACCTCGGAGTCTTGCCTCAAACCGCAAAAATAGCGAATTGTTGCCACATACGACAAAACCTAATAGTTCTAGGCCTAACAACAAGCTCACAGCGTCAAACGATCAGAATCGAAACGGTTTGTTATCGCCACCGTAGGTGAGAGTTGTGACACTTGGGTGCTTCTTTAATTCTTAATCACAAACGAGTGCATGGCACATCTCAGAGTTGAAATTAATACGGAAACCGATCCATAATTGATTGTTCATAGGCACAAAAATCGCTTTACAGGGAACCCAACGTATTCGGGGCATAACTAGTAGACTGAGCAAAAACTTGAACGAAGTGAGTTTACAATATTCAGGAGAAAATTTCGATAAAAGAAAGTCTTGCGGGTTGCTGACTTCTCAGGGTGGACAGTGACTAGAATGATGCAAAATTCTCTGTCTTGTCAAGGTGTTCATCTGTACACACAAAACTAAAGAGAATCGTAAACAGTTAAATGCTGAAAACTCGTTTTTTTTCAGGAGAATAGCTCGAAAAACTCATGGAGAAAAATAACGAACAACATATGTTCTTTTATTATTTAGGAAATGGGTCAGAATAAGGCTTACACAGCCGACTGCCAGCAAATGACGGACGAGCACCTCAGTACGAGGCTGTAAAACGATGGAGGACTTTTCGAAGCGAACAGTCGAAGCTTTGTCCGGAGAAGGGGAAGGGATCTTTCGAAGGAGTCGGCAGCGTATATGTCAAAGAAGCGGGGAATTTCTTCAGGGATACAAGAGTCATAGAAAATTAGCCTGGCGGCCACTTCATTTTTCCATTCTTTGACTGCCTATATGTTTAATTCCACGTTCTTGCTCGACGGATCTTTATGAGCAACTTCGTTACGATTGAGCTTCAGATGAAAGTAAGAGCTCAGCGTGAGGAAAAGGGGAACTATTTCTGTAAAAGTTGGCTAACCCTATCTCAACGTTCAACGGTTGTCCGCGCGTAATTCACTCGACTTCCAGCCAGGGTCGGTCCTATCGTTGCTACTTTTCAAAAAGTTTTTACGACCCCCCTCCCTCATGAAATGTTTCATACGACCCCCTCTTTCAAAACAATTTTTACCCCAAAAAATTACCGTCGAGCGGGGGTATATACTTACCATAAAACCCGCAAAAATTCCCTACATTTCCCTACAATTTCCATGTATTTTACCCATATTTCAACTGCTCCATTTTCTAGGGGGGTATATACGCGCGCTGAAACGGCAAATTTTCTCCCGCGCCGCTCCCCACTCATCACATGCAACTTCTTACAACCGAAGCAAGTACGACCCCCCCTCTACAAACTCATCAAAATACGACCCCCCGTTGCTACTTGTAGCAACATAGGGTTGACCCTGCCTCCAGCTCTATCTCGGTCTTTGTTTTGATTAACTCGTTCTTCCCAAAATATCTCATTGCCACCCCATAATTGTTGAAAGAAAATACGCTTTAGGTGGACCACTTAGGAAAGAACATTGATCTATTCAACATTGTGGAGGACGGAAAACTCGTTTGCTTCAAAGGCACTCACTTTTCTCGGAGCTCCAGTATCAAGAACTCAACCACACCATACTGGAAGAGATATGATATTACGGCACAAATGAGAGCGATGAAGACCAAGAGGAGTCGATTCTCGAAATACGGTATCGGATCGTACTCCAGGAAGCTGATGATGAAACCAGGCGGCCACAGGGTTATGTAAAGAGATACCTGAATGGCGATGTTAAGTTTTATGGTTAATGTTAATGTTATTAGCTTATGGTTAATGTGCTCTCTTTCGTGATCCAATCGTCGACGGCCGAAGTAAGGCCGATGTCAGACTTTGCGAATCGCTAGTAGCGAATTGCGCGATTCGCAAAGTCTGACATCGGCCTAACGCTTCATAACTGGACTGCACTGTCGTTGCGCCGCATATGCCTGTATCACTGCGACTGGACAGCCTGTTGGGCCGCCAGTCGCAGGTATCCCCCACACGCAGTAAATGGAAAGGCTGTGAGTTTGTCACATCGGCCAGAAACGACTGCAATTCTTTCTTGCTGAAAAAAACATTGCTGGACTTACCACTGTCACAACAAGTAATGTGATACACAAGGGTATATTAAAAAATATTGGTTTTCGATAAGGTTCTCCTTTGCTGTTGATAAGAGCCAGTGTAATGTACTGGAGCGTAGTGGTGCAGAATAGTGCAGTACCCTGAACCAGACGCACTTTCCAAAAATAGTCGAAATGCTCATGAAAATAAGCTGGTTCAACAGATCACCTGCATGCTCCTCTTATCCTCTGCTTCATCACCGACTGGTACAGAATACGGGATGAACCATGGCTGCCATGTTGTTGATACAAAGACGTAGAACTTAAAGGGCGAAAAAGAGCTAGACGAACAACTATTGCAGTTGAAGCGGGTAGAACTACTCGGAAATAAAGCAAGAAGTTGTGAGATGGGAACGTACCTGAGTTATAGCCATGATGAGCAATTGACCGCATACCGAAGTGACGCTAGCAAGAGATAGAAGACGAGTTGGCGGAGGAGTCGGACTCAGACAATCGCTCGCTGGTGTGTTACCGAAGAATAGAGCGACCAAGGTTATTAGGAACATGTCGATGTAGAGGAACTGAAAAAAGATCCGGTGTTATTTATCCCCTTTGACGACCGTGTGGCCCGCCGGTGGGCCACACTTTCGCTCGGTGGCGACTCGTTTTTAGTGGTTTATTTTGGCATTTTTCATGTTTCAAAACTACACAAATACATTATCGAATTCGCGGAATAATGCGCTAATTACTAATAGTGAAATTGTTGGAGAGTTAATGATTATTGATGAAAAAATTTAGAAAGAAGTGAAGTGACGCATTCATAACGGCGGTCGTCAAAGGGTTAATTTTTACAACTACGTGATCTAGAAACTCCAATTTCGTCGAAACTATGCCTGTGTGAGAAATCCGGTGCTCGTTTACGAATTCAGCATCAATTTTTGTTGCTGGCAATATTTGGAGGCACCAATTTCCAAAAAAACTTATAAACTTATGTATGACGGTTATTTGGTGCCTTGTTCACGAATACAACACTCGTTTCGAAGCTGGGACTATTCGAGGCCTATTTCCTGCATGTCTGCGCGCTTTGGGACGGAATTGTGCCTAGGACTAGGCCAAGAGAAAATGGAGGTTCAAGAATAGATGAGCCACCGTTTCAAGCTATTCAATTCGTTCAAGAATTCCACAACGAGTGTACTCTGATTCCGTAGAAATCGATAAGCACCACTTGGCTCCGATGCACTTTCGTATTGTCAACTTAGAAGCAAAAGCATGCGCTAAATAAAAAAAAATTCGGGTATTTGAAAAAAGGCAGGAAGAATGTACGTGGCGCCTTGCACACTATCACTTTGTGTCCCAAGGCTTAACACGTAGAAACTGAAAAACATTTATACACTAACGTTGATTTGTTTGGGGAAGCATTCTGAAAATTGTTGATTTCATCAGGGTAGTAATCTTTGTGGCGATATCTTAGATTCCTTACTTTGCAAATCCAATGAAAGCAGAAGTAGAAGTGCTATGCTTCAATAACCACGTCATGTTTTTGTTTATATAATCGCATTATATTTCTTCGCCCGAAATGTTGCAGAGGAGTGACGGCGTCAGCCCGTGGGCCATATGCGCGACGGGATTAGCTTACGCCGCGGCAGGATTGTGACTAGAGGAGCGAAAATGGATTACCTAGCAGAAGCTGGGATCAAAACATGGGGTTCTGCAGGGCTTTCAGCATTTTTAAATGTCAAATTTGGAATTTATGAAGAATTTCGATGAATTCTGAGTTATCCATGGAACTCTAATAATTTCCCAAAGAGCCCGAGTATTCTTCGCTCTGCGATTTTTGACTGATGATAGGATAGAGGAATTCTACACCTAGTTTATCATGCATGAAATGCTTAACACTTGGCAATTGGTATTCACCTTCGGAATTCTTTTTTAAGATCCACTTGGTTCTTTTATGCTCCAATGCATGAGAGGCCTCGCCCTGCACATTTACCAACTTTTTTTCAAGACACTCCCACTACTGATAGGCTCATTTTATGAACAAATGAACTTTATCCGCTCTAACAATAAGTGGTGTATCTCTTGCGGGACAATTTTGCGATAAACGTAGGGAAGGCAGGGTCGCTTTAGGGATAAGAATCACGATGAAATTGATGGGTCATTCCACTCAAATGTGAAAGTAGGGGTGGGAGGTGGACCGCCAGTGGAGAAAAAAGGAAAGAAAATCCTGAAATACACAGGAAATACGAGCATTTTGCTCCATGCTGTGGAGAAGTTCAAAGGCAGGGAGATGAGAGATAATGTGAGCGCGGAGAGCGGTAGAGAAGTCCGAGAAGAGAGAGCATAGCAGATCAACGTGGCGACGCAGACAAGATATCGAACGGTGGGCGGACCATGTTAAGTTTGGTGGAGTCTGTTAGAAGTCCATGGCGCCTAGGGTCCTAGTGACGCGTTTCGATGTAGAAAGGTGGCGCTACCTTTGCACTTGCGTACCCAGCACTTCTAGCCATGGTAAGGGCTTCTTAGGTGGGTCTGAGCCCGAACTTTGCCTTTAACCTCGACAACCTAACCTTTGCCCTCGACAGGCCGGGAGTGTGGGGGGGGGGTCGTATCTGTCCCTGTGGGAGGAAGGGGTCGCGCCTGATCTATGCAGTAGGTTAACCACTGTCGGAGGACTCAAAAAGGAGCGAACGATGATATCAAACATTGTGTAGAATTTCTTGTAACAATCCTATTCCGCACTCATAGAATTCTAGTGGTTTAAAGGGGTTCGCACAGTAATTTGAGGCTACCTCAATGATTCACTACAACAAGGGTAAAGAATCCGCAATTCGCACGTTTTTCAACAGATATTTTACAAATGAGTGCACAAATTTGAGAGGAGGTGAAGCACACGGCGCGTAACTGAGTGGGCACTACAGTTGCACACACTTTAACTACGCTACCCTAGCAAAAAATCTCGATTCAGGAAAATCAGGAGGATTCGAAAGGGTCGTGTAAAATAGCAGCTAGGAATCCACTGTTCAACAAGAAATGCAGTCTTCAGCGTCAAATTCATGAACATGTAATCGTATAAGTTTAAACTTGCTGTATGGTTTCACAGTGAACGCTGAATGTTTACAACGCCCGAATTTGCTTTCATTTTTGTAAAAGAAACATCCCTGAAAGGAGTTACAGTCGTTGAAAGAGTGCCAATGCAGCGAAAGAGAACCTGTGGGTGGTACGCAGGCAAAAATCCTTAACGGAGCCGTTTTTGATACTCAAAACCTATTAGACTATCAAAATAACAAATGACCAGAGCAAATCTTCTAGTTTAATGATGCTATACTAACTTTTAAGATTAGACGAATTTGAAAGAATTTATGGCTTTGGGAGGTGAAGAAACTCGCGCTCTCAAATTTTTTTTTCATTATTTTTGCAAAAATCCTCAACGTGGCCATTTTTGGATACTGAGCAAATCGAAACATATCAGCGACCGTTGGATAGAGCGATTTCTAGTTTTGTATGACGTATAAACTTTCAAGAATTTGACGGATTTGAAGGAAGTTACTGCATTGGAAAATGTAAAAACTCGCCCTCAATCCGAATGTTCCTCGTTTTCAGGGAGGGCTAGACAACTTTACTAGCCTCCGCTTGTGGAGAGTCGTTTCATGGACTTCCCGCTTGGTGAGGGAAGGGGGTCATATTTCAAAATTTTCGACGCCTCGCTTGACCCTGAGAACAGAATCAATTACTCTACCGCGCCCTT